TTGAACTTTCTATTACTAAGAAAAATACTACATAGAAGGACAAATTAAATGCTTATCAGAGTCCAACAAAGACTTCACTTAACTCAGTTTTTTTTTAAATAGCATGTTTCAGTATATTATCTATATGTCATTGTAATATAAATTCTACCAGTGAAACTAATCTCAAAGAAGAAGATATCAAATAAACATCATAAGAATAGTAGTAGATAAAGCAGTATAAGAGCAACTTATAACCTTGGAATACGATTGACGAGATACTATAAGGATTTATTGTTTGTATTCAAATATTCAAATCTATTTTTTTGTAATTGACTGTACTTGAAGAAAATCATAGTCTGGAGAGAAGACATTGTGAGCTAGTTTTTCGACATAATCTTGTCTTGATTTTTAGTTGTAACAAGTTGCTTCATTTTTAGTCTTGCATTTTATGCTAAAAATAAAAAAATCAAGATGTATAGGAAAAAACTATAAAACATTTCAGAATCACATATATTATGAAAACTATGTTTATGAATTTTAAAAATGAAAAATTAACTATAAGTATATATTCCTTTTTTTTTTTTAAATAATATCGATTAATTGATATTTAGTTAAATTGAAGTTATTTTAATACAATATGTATATCAATAGTTTTTTGAATCAACAAAATTTGAAGAATTATTTTGCATAAAAAAAAAAAGTTCGTAGTACTTGTTAAGATATAAATCAAACATTATACGACAGCTAAAGAGACATGCTGTCGTCTATCGAAGAAAAAAAAAATCAAAAATGTTACATTTAACAAAGAATGAAATAAATCAGTCACGTGTCTTCGACACGAGGCAACAGAACCGAAAGAATAAAAATAACCTCGTCTTTTTTTTCAATAGGATAATAAAAATGACCTTGGGAAATTCGGTCATATGAAATTTAATAATTATTTTACTTTCTACGATTAAATATCATAAAAAGCACCAAAAACTAGAACATTTTATTTAATGTGCTATCATTTTCTTTCATTTCTATAAGATAGGTCGCCCAAGTACATAGAACTATATATATATAGATATAGATATATACGATGGCACTAGTATGATAGACACAGTACATCGACCTGCGCACATTAGAGTTGCCCTAAGAGCATAGCTGTCTTTCTTCGTTTCTTCTTTTCTCTTTTTCTTTTCGTTAGTCTTCCTGCGTCTTTCTTTTTTTTTTTTATTTTTTCATTGTTGCAATGCGTCAAAGGACTTCATGATGTTGTCGTTAATGAAAGAAAAGGAAAAAAAAAGGAAAGAACGTAAATGTTTCAGTACTTTGTGGACAAGAGTGCAAACTTATATACGAAGAACAACATTAAGGGCGACAACATGAGCCTATATATTCAAAGTGGGACGTATCCTTTATTTAATATCTATTTATAGAATAGTTTTTACCAACGAAACTAATCATACGTATATTTTTAGAGATATTTATATGGCGAATACCTTATCAAATCGTTGTACGGTGAGATTATTCAGTACACCTTTGAAAAAAATTTTTCTGTCTGACACTTGATTATAGATACTAGATTTATGATTTAATCTAAAATTCTTTTAAGAATTTTATGAAAGAGAGTTTTTACATGAATATTTCTTTTATTTTCTATTTAACATCATAAAATAAGTTAGATATTTATCATATTATTTTGACCCATACATTATCTCTTAGAAAAGTAATATAATAGTCAATTGTCATTGAATCGATCATTTCCGATTGAATTATCTGATGTAGTTTGACTTTTAATTTATATCTTGAGGGTGTATGATAAAACGTTTGATTTCTGATAATTTGTATTCATTAATAAAAAAAAATGACGCAGCGACATGAAAAGAAAAGTCAACTTTTATTCTTTGTTTTTCTCTATTAGTAATTTTATTCTTCTAGATAAACGAGTAAAAACTTTATAGAAAGCACATTGACATTCGATCATATTCTATCAACAGAAAACATAATTCTGGTAAAAAAACAAAAGTACATTGAATATGATGGATACTTGTGATTATGACATTGATTATCGTCAAAATGATAAATATACAGGTCATGATGATAGTTCAATATTCATGAAAAATATATCAAAAAAGGTAAGCATGATATATATATTTAATTAAATAAATCAACTTTTTTCTATCTTCACCTATAATAAAAACAAAAGATTATGTCCAAAATTTTTTCTATCAAGTGAATAGCATATAGACAGTGCACTAGAAGACTTACAAAGTCAAGTTTATGACATATTTAGATTTTCTTAGGTGTTTCCTTTTTCTTTTTGAAGATGAAAAGAAGTCATTTTCTAAAATTACCAAATTTCATAAGACGATGTTTTTCTCTTGCATACATATAATATCATGTTTCATATAAAATTATCTATTGGGAAAAAAAAATCTTGCTTTTATTGTCTTCATACATTTTTTTTTTTCTTGAATTCAAAATAAATTTTAGATGAATTCAAATCGTCATCTACCAAATGAATCATGTCGTGTATGTGGTTTTGAAAAAACTACAGGTCGTAATTTTGGTGTTACAACTTGTTCAACATGTAAAGCATTTTTTCGAAGAAATGGTCGTACAGGTTCAGTAAGTAAAAAGAAAATAAATAAATAAATAATATTATTCTTTTATTTGATTAGTCTTTACCACCTTGTCGTTTTGGTGGTAATTGTCCTGTTAATGAACGAACACGTCGTCAATGTCCAACATGTCGTTTAGCAAAATGTTTT